TACTATTGCTTAAAAGATTATGTTTCAAAAATATCTGTGACTGAAGATCAGTATTTGTAGGAACTCACAATGATACAGAGAAACTCTGATGAAAACAGAATATTTAGTTTAAAATCACTTGTTTTTTTCAGGTATTTAAGAACCTAATATATATTATGCATGACTCAAGAAAATGGAATAACTCCAAGTGCTACAGACTCTGTAATAAAGAAAGTTGCAGATCACATCTAGATCCCAAATGAAACTCATAGTCATGGCCTTGAAAACAGACATTTTTTTCAGTTTTCTTTTTAGTTCGTTCTTATGTGTGTCTTCAAAAACATCACTGGATGTGGGCTCATAGAAATGGTGGCTTTTGGTAATCCCCAAGATGATGTAAATGAATAAAATGTAACAAAATATTAATGGGAACTATTATAAGAGGGTGTTAATAATTATCACATTTCAGTATAGCAAGTAGCCATTATTATATGAGCCATTTTCATTGAATATAAAAGTAAAAGCAGTCTGAGAGAAAAAAATAAACTCAGAACAAGACACTGTGAAATTATTGATCAGACTTTTGAAAATATTCGGGATGTCACGTGGCCAAAGCAAAGAAAACAAACACATTATGTGGCTATAGGAACAGTAGAGGCAGAGAATTTCAAAACTGGTCACATGAATATAAAGCTTCTTGGATTGTTAACATAGGCATCTTTTCATGCTTTTAAATGGGGCATAATTAATTATATAATTAGACCTACTACAGTTGTCTTCTAATGTAGCAGATAAGCAATAGTTAAGAGGATGACAGTATTTGAAATGCACAGTTACAAAACTCCAGAACGTGAACAGAACTGCGTTTTGGAAAAATTCATAATGAGCCAGAAGCTAGTCCCTGTGAAATGAGTCACCAGGATATCTCACTTAGAAAAAGCAAATATGTTTGGGCAGATGAAGGCGACAGTGTGGGGCTCAGAGCCAACTAGGATATTTGTTGACTGAAGAATGAGAATCTCTGTGAAAAACGACTTTTTGTAAAGAAAGACATGGAGCCAACTTGGTCGAGGAGAGAGAAAGAAAAAATTTCCACACCGTATATTTGCACTATAACCTTCTTTTTCTTCCTCACCTTCCCTGCCTACCATTCAACCTCAGGGGCACATACTAATACTCTTAGAATTAAGAAATTGTAAACTCTCTCAATAATCTCAAAGAAACATTCTTATTAAAATACCTTTTAAGTCAGATAGTTACAAACCATTGTACTTTATAATGCTCTCCACCCCTTCCCTAAGGGAATTACTGTCTAAATTTCTTTTTTATATGATGAAAGAGGTTGGTTAATACTATCTGGAATAGGTATCAGTAAGCTTCTATTCTTTTTTCATGAAGTTAAGGTTACGGGGTATTTAGTATTTCACCATTGAAATGAACTGCACTAATAGACTTTCAAATATTAAACAAATCTTGCAATCCTGGGGTAATTCATTTGGGAATAGTGTATTTAGCCTGTTTCGTGTTGCTTGATCCGGTTTGCTCACATATTTTATGTGCACAACTTGAAGTCTGTTTCTTTGCATGTCTAGGAAATGTTGTATTCATGCTTGGCCTTGTCCTGGCGTACACTGAGTGCCCAGATCATGTTGCTTTCTTTTAGAATTTATGATTTTGACTAACACATGCGTGAGTCACATAAAATTCGATCTAAAAAATTAAATTTAAACTTCGGATACAACCAACATACAATAAAATTTACCCTTTAAAAGGGTAGAATTCAGTGAATTTTAGCATGTTTTGAAATCGTACAACCATCACGCTGTCAGCGTTTTCATTACTTTCCCCAAACAGCCCTCACACTCACCATCAGAAGTTATTCCTACTTTTTCACCGGTCCTGGCAAACACTAATAGTCCACTTTCTATACACTTGCCTATCCTATACATTTCATAGAAACAGAATCGTACAATGTGTGGCCTTTTGTGTCTGACTTCCTAACATGTATTTTCAATGGTTCTCCATGTCATATCATATATCACTGTATCATTACTTTCTATGGCTAAACACTAGTCCATAGTACGGACACACCAAATTGTGTTTATCCATTTGTCAGCTGCCAGGCATTTGTGTTGTGTCGGGGTGGGTTTTTTTTTAGTTATTATGAGTAATGCTGCAAGATTTTTGGATGAGCCTCTGATTTTATTCTCTTGGGTAAATACGATCTAGAAGTAAATATTCTGGGGTGTACGCTAATGATGTTTGACATTTTTAGAAATGAATGAAACACAATGACTTTATTATTTTGACACTGACAATGCACTATGTAAGCCATTCATGAGACTATTGGAAGGGACTGGGATAATATAAAATTACAACTATAAAGTAGGAAAGTAACCCTCAAAATTGTAGGTGAACTTGGAATGGCCAATTTGATGTCATCAAATGCAATTAGTTGGGATTAATTATGTAACTCTTTGTAAGAAATCAATATGCTATTTTATAATCTTAAAATGAATACATTTTTAATGTAGCTATTGCTTTAAGGTCAAAACTTAGCTGAGGTATTTAATTGGAAATGTTGGAACATGTTCCTGGACACATTTGGTTCAATATTGATCTTAAACCCTTTAATTAGACACTTTTATTACGTAACAGAATTACACAATTGTATATCTTTCTAATTTTCTCAGATCATCGGATTTCACTTTTCCATGGGTCTCTCATTCTAAAATTAATTTTTCTGACCACTTTTTAATTATTATCTTGAAATATGAAAATAGTTCTCTGAAGACACTAAAGATCAATAACTATTTAATATAAGCTATGTAATTGCACAGCTTTTCTAGTCATATGACGTTCGGTCATTGAAAAAAGTATTAAAATAAGCTACTACCATAAATGATTGTTGAAGACATTTTATGCTTGCCACCAACGTCCTCCCTACATTTCCCTCAGTGACGTTACAACTGAACAGGAGGAGTATTTAGGTATCGTTTCAATAGTCCAAGACTTCCCAGAGTTTAAAGACCAAGGGCTTCGCGGGAAGGCTGCAGCCTTTACAACCAGCTGTCACGGTACAAGAGCCACCCTTGTAAAGACGATGAGTAGGTTTGCCACGCAGGGCCTTGCACACCTGCTCGCTGTCATCTGCCACGTGAGCGCCACCCGCCGCACCTCCCCCTCATCTCCCAGGCACTTGGCCTGGCTTCATCATCACCTCTTAAACACTGTTTCATGCTGCCTGACTTCCTACTGTCCCAGCTGTCACCGTCGATTCTAGATGTCTGGGCTGATCTTCAGCACCTACCCGCCATCCCCTCCACCTCCATTAAGAGCCTGACTTCACAGCATTACAAGGCTCCGACTTTGGCTCCTGCCCAAGTTTTCCGAGGCAAATCTGCCGGGCATGAACGCCCTGCTTTATCGGTCTTCCTGGAGTCCGCCTTCTTTTACGTGTCTTCTCTGCAGACGCTGACCGAGGTCTCCTGCTCCCTACCATCCTTTACCTTAGCCCTGCCTTCTCCTTGCTGTGAAAGTACAACTGTGGAAATATGCTGTGTCATTTAAGCCAAATATCTGACTCTCTCATCCACCTCATAAACCCCAATCTCTCTCTGTTTCTTCACTGAACGTTTGAAGAGGAGGTGCAAACTCTGGTCCTCAGTTCTGAGATATCCAAATGCACCTATATGTCTCTGCTCTTCATTTTCTCATTCCCATTTGTGATTTTTCAGAAATGCAAATGGCAAAATGAGTTAAGCAATGTGTATTGAGTAACAATACTTTGACCAGAATGATTGTGTCAGAACTGAGAGATTGGAAAAAAAAGTTTAAGGTGCGACGGTTACACAACTAACCCTGTGCGACTGAGGAATAACAAAGGGGGTGTCACCTCCTTTAGTTCACTTTCTCTTCCTTTATTCCCCCCCCAAAAAAAGAGGCTTTGCCAAGAAAGTAAAAAACATCAAGCCTTGGTACTGTTTTAAGGTGATAAAGGTTTTCATCCATGTTTTAAACTAGGAAACAATGTTAGAGTTTACTACTTAAATTGAACAATGTCCACCCAAGGTTATAACAGAAGGTTTAAAAGGGATTAAAATATGCTCAACTTATAATACTACTTTATTAGAGATAATTCAGTGTGGATATAAGATCATGCATTTCCTCCTTGAAAGTTATGTGAGTTTTATGAAGCTAAAACTATGTGAATAATAATGTACACTACTTTTAATAAATGTGGCTATTTCAACAGCTCAGTCATCAAAAATAGCATGAGTAATACGTATGCACAGTTTAAGAAACCTAGAATCTGTATATTTTATATATTTCTATTTAAAAAATAGTAAGTGCTTGATATGTTCATGCACAATTAACATGAGTGAAGAATATGCAGATTTTACTAAGGAACTTTAACATGGTTTCATACTGTATTGAGAAGGAAACAAAAATACAGAAAGGTTAAATAACACCAGATAGTAGTTCAAAATAAATGGAGGTCTTAACTAGGTTTGTTAGAGACAGAACTTGTTTGTAATTAATACTATTTTGTACAAACTTGATTCTTTTATCTGTTTCACTGTCCACGTAAAATCAGTGATCAAGCTGGGGTTAGTATAGTTTTCAAATCAAACAGGATCATGTGTTTCATTTAGTATTTTCTAAACTGTATTTATAACTTTTATTAATTCTATTATTTTGATATGAGAAGTATTTCTCTATAAGCTGTGAAAAATAGTACAGATATTTCTTCTCACTTGATTAGGGAGCAGCCTTGAATTAATTAGCTCAAACCCTTTCACCTCTATCATATAATGCTCCTTTTTTTTTTTTTTTCCTTTAAGAAATGAACGGTTTATTGCTCACAAGGAGCAAAAGAGGGATTCTTAGCTCCTTTTCCCTCTCTGGTGACAACACTGGCATAGTCCCTGGACAGCCACATACAAGCATGCCCTCGCCGTCCTTGATCTTCTGCTGCAGTGCGAAGATGCCTGAGCTACGGGACTCGCAGTTCCCAGTTTCTAGACAGAAGCGCCAGCTGTGCCTTCCCGTGCATCGGCCGTGGCGACACGCTCCTTCTTGTCTTCAGGTTTCAAGGCAGGAAACAGGAGCACTTCCTTGATGTTGCTGGAGTCCGTGAGAAGCATCGTGACGCGGTCGATGCCCATGCCCCAGCCAGCGGTGGGGGGCAGCCCGCACTCTAGGGCCGTGCAGAAGTTTTCGTCTATCAACATGGCCCCGTCGTCCCGAGCGGCCTTGGCCTTGGCCTTGGCCTGCTCTGCGAAAAGGCGCCGCTGCCTCATGGGGTCATTCAGCTCGGTGTAGGCATTGCATGTTTCCTTCTTCGTGACAAAGAGCTCAAAGCGCTCCGTCAGACCCTCCTTAGATCAGTGCCACTTTGCCAAAGGGCTCATTACCTGCGGGTGGTCACAGATGAACATAGGGTGGACACACGTCCCTTCCAGGAACTCCCCAACTAGCTTACCCACGAATCTGGCCGCGCTCCGGGGCGGAGGGCATTCGATGGCTTTTGCCACGCGGATACCATTAAGGATTCTGCGAGTGTCTTGCGTTTCAAAGAGGCTGGTGGCGGGCAGCTTGACCCCCAGAGCTCTCTCGAGCTCTTCTAACCATGCTGATCTTCCAGAAAACCCGGGTGAAGTCCACCTAGTAGGCGGGGCCGTCGGGGCCATCCGGATGGTAGGCCACCTTGGCACTGCCTGTAACGCTCTTCACCATCCCCGCTGTCATCTTCTCTGTGGTTTCCATGAGGTTGCAATAGTCGGCGTAGGCCCTGTAGAACTCACAGGTGGTGAACTCGGGATTGTGAGTCATGTCAATCCGTTCATTCCGGAACGGGCGTGCGATTTCATACACCCGGTCGAGGGCACCAACCACCCGCATCTTGTGGTAGAGCTCTAGGGCAATCCGCATGTCCAAGTTCATGTCCAGCTCATTGTGGTAGGTGATGAAAGGCTTGGCTGCCGCTCCCCCTGGGATGAGGTTCATCATGGGCGTTTCGATCTCTAGGAACCCCAGCTCATCCAAGAAACTTCTTATGTATGTGATGATCTTAGAGCAGGTGATAAATTTCTGCCTCACAGAGTCCTTCAGGATCAAGTCCGAGTATCTCTGACGATATCGTATTTCCTTGTCTTTGAGCCCAAAATGCAGATGAGGTAACATACGCAAGCACGGGGACGTCAGTGTGATCTCGTGGGGAAGGGTGCTCAGCTCGCCCGTCATGGTTTTCCCAGGGCTCCCCTGACCTCCAATGATGTCTCCCCGATGCAGTTTGTTATTGCTACGAATAAATTCTTCCGATTTATAATTCCTGGAATTGGCCATGACTTGCAACTTGACTCCCTCTCCCTGGAGGTCATAGAAGATGAGCTTCCCCCTGGAAGCTCTTTTGGCATGGACCCTCCCTGCCACCTTTAAGGTGACGTCACTCAGCTGGTCCCCAGGCTGCAGGTGACTGTATTCTTGGATGAAGTGTGTCAGCGAGATGTCCACATGGAACTTGTGTGGGTACGGGTCTTCCCCGTTGACCTTCAGCTGCTGGATTGCTTGGCTGCAGAGCTTGTAGTACTGGTTTGGGTCCAGGCCCTCCTCCTCGGCGCCCGCATTGCCCTCAGCGCAGGCCTGGCCTGGTTGTTCCTCACTGAGGCCCTTCTGCGTGGCCGCCTTCTCTGCTGTTTTCTTCTCTGCTGTCAGGCATCTCCTTTGCTCACTCTTGCTCAGTTTCGGCTCGCCGCCACCGCCCACGTTCTCTTCGGACCCCGGCACCGCAGCCGTCTCGCCAGAGGCCTGGGCTGAGAGGGAATGCCGCTTGTTAATATCCAGATTTATAGCGCCCGGTGTTTTTACTAATTCCTTTCATTTACGGATGATACAGGAGTTAATTAAACTTAATTCGATTTGTTTACACTTCATGTCCAACATGTAAATAAAACATAAAAACTAATTTAGACATATTATAGGCATATATTTATACACAGTAAAGAGAGAAGCCTATGGTAATGAGTTTTCTTAAATTTCTCCTTCAAGAGAAATTCTAGCTTCAACATCTGATATTCTATAATAGATTTCCATTTACTACTTTATTTCCATTGGATATTATTATTTTTAACTTTGGAAGAGACTTGGAAAAAAAGTATATTTCTATTGAAATATTTAGCTTAGTTGTACCAAACTACAACTATTATTGGTTTCATTAGGTCCAATATTCTTAATTATGTTCCATCTAAACGGAGAGACTAGTTTTCTGATTGATATTATACAACATTCTTTAAATGGTTTAGGATGCTATTTGACGCAACATCAAATACTCTCCTTTGTACAGAATGTTCTTTCCATGCGGGCCCTTGATTTCATCTCACCTGTGGCCCTCTAATCTGTATAGCCTCACCTTAAAAGTGCACGGCTTACGACAGGTCCGCTCCCCTCTTCCAAACACTTCCCTACCACCCCCTTTTTACGCGGCCTGCAGAATCTGTTTTTCTTACTGTTTTGTAATGAATTACCTTGCACCCTGGTAAACAGAATCAAGATTCTTCTCAATGAGGGAAAACATTTCCTTCTATAAAATAATAAGATGACTGCTAATTATTTTGTGTAGGGATTTCCACTTCCATACATTCTTTCTAGTTCAGCTTCTCTTTAGTATGTGTTGAATGTTATGTATCACTTACATTTGCATACCACGGCTCCAGTTAATGCCACATTTTTGACAATACAAACTGCTCTGCATCTCATTCTTATGCATGGGTTCCACTGCATTGTACAAAATAATTGAGCTGGTCTAATGTCTTAAAGTGACACATAGCATATTTTTATTCCCCTTAGCAACTTTGATGTGATACATACTTAATCTTCATTTAATTCACATTTAGTTTTATTCTTAACATTTACAATAGACTTCCCTGTGAAATAACACAATTTATACCATATTAAAACTTCCTGATAATGTTCTTTAAGCATTTTTGTAATATAAGATGGCATTAAATTATAGAAAGCCTCAAAGGACAATGAAAGTTGATACTATATCTTGGGTTTTTTTATGTTTTTCAATGTACCATATCCATGTCCAACATCTTACAGAAAATGCTATTTTGTAAATTAAGTGAAAAATCAACACTACGAGAAAAAAATGTGTTTTTGAGTCATTTGCAGCTAGCATAAATTCATGAAATGGACTGCAACTTTATACTACAATTTGTGCAAAGGGCAAGTGAATTTTATTTCTTACAGTCAATAAAGAAGAATATAGGAAATTTTCATTAAGATGGTGAAGTCAATGTTCTTTTCTCTGAAATTTTTCTCTCTGAAACCAGCAAGAACCTGACAAAAAATAAAGAATAGAAAAGAATACAATTTCTTAACGAAATTAGGCGTCACTGCTGCTAGTCACTTGAATAATATAAAAATACACTGCAATTAAATTGAAACTTGGACCAATAGGGAAAGAAAGCATTGAAATCTACCTCTGCCGGTTTGGGACGACAGGGTATAATTGTAGAGAACGGGCAGGATAACCTCAAGGATCCAAACAGCGATTACTCATCTGTTCATCTGTCGTTAAGTTTTCATGGCGCAGCCCGGCTGGGGCGAGGACGGCGGGGGAAGGGCCACACCCCGCGCCCGGTCAGAGGGCGCTACCGGAGAGAATGTGGGAATAGAGAGAGAAGGAACGTGAGAGCTATGGGTGGTCCCTGCGTTGGAATTAAACAGGGAGAGTGGGTGACAGTCAGCTCTGAGGCAGCCTCCCAGGGGACATGCTGGACACGAGTGATAACTTCAAAGGAGTGAGTGGGCGGAGTCCCTCCGAGATCAACTAGGCGTTCGCTGGCCCTGAAGGAAGAAGTGGGCAGTATAGGTGGGCTCTCTGTACACATCTTTGCCTTCAAGCTGATTGTTTTTCTGCTGTGGCTTTTGATTTGTACAATACCTCACCTGAAGGGGATTTCGTTTCATCGTCCATGTTCCTGTGTCTGGTTAGAATGGAAACGCAGGCCCCAAAACCTTCCAATCCAACCTAAGCTGGCCTACAGACTACTGGTTGGGTGTCCTAGTGGAATGGCGGACAATAGTGAGAAGACATCGGTCAACCTTTGCTTTGAACTTTTATGAGAATACTTCCTGCCTAGTTAATTAATTAAATAAGCTCCCTTTGTGTTTTCAAGGGGGGGCAGCCACAGAGCTGGAGCTGCTGCTTATTCTCGGAATGGCCAAGGGTCCCAAGACACACACCTTTATAAACATGTCCCTTTGTACAACGTGGGGCCTTGGATGCCTTTTTTCTGCTTGTCCTAATTCTGTCTGTTTCAACACCACTATCTCCTCCTGGAAGAGCTCACACTTCCCGTAGGAAGTCCCACGAGAATCCTGAACTCGTTTTGGGAGGACACTCTAGATAGGGAGTTATCCTAACATTGGCCATGACAGGGAACTCCGGGCAAGTTAAACTAAATAAATTTAGAGGAAATCTAGATATTCATTGAAGTAGTATTCAAACATGAAGCAGCTCTTCAAACTGAAATGGTAAGGCCTCCAAACATGATGCTCACTCCCGGGCAGTACTTCTCCAGGACTCTAGAACTGTCTGCAGAGTGCCCTCTGTTGAGTGTGCCTTTCTCTCCTCAGCTCTGTTTTTATCAGCCAGCTGGACTCTTTCTATCCCTTCTGCTCCTTTTCTGGCCTCCAGAATAAACGGTTCTTTTTTCAGGGTTTTTTCCCACTCAGGAAACTACAAATCATGTTGTACAAACTTTTTCCTAAAATTAGTCAGACTCTCTTCCGAACTTATACTAGGATTTCCTTTCAGTCTGAAGTGAACACATGCAGTCCAATCTCTACTGCTAAATGAAAAACATACACTGATTTTCAAGCGTGTAATTAAATAATTATAAAAATGTGTTACTTTCTCCTCTTCCCACCGCCATCTGTTTATGGAACACGTTCAACCCAGCGGCTTCACTACTCCTACCCATTAAGAAAAACCTCATACCTGGGCTCTGTAGTTTAAGGAGGGTCTGTGCCTTAAGTCTTTTGGACACTTCGGTGCCAATCCCACTTTACAAGTGATTTTTGATGGATTTACATTAAAAAAGAACAAGGTAATGTCATGAATCATAACTACTCCATATTCTTCTGTCGAGTGAATCTCCTCCAGAAGCTGAATGAACTTAGGTGGCCACCCCAGGACAGAGCTTTGATAAAGCTACAGGGTCATAGTACAAGAAACTATATAGAAGTTAGGGGAAATGATTTAGCAGATTATTATGCCAAACGGCCTCCTTTGATTTAGTCTTGTTCAAAGACCACTCGCAGGGCAGCAAGAGACATTCATAAGAATCCCATCACAGAGGAACAGGATTTGGCCGGTTGTCATGAAAGGAAGAGAAAATGAGAACCGTCAGGACGTCGGAGCCCAGGGGCTGAGATGCCGTGACTCAGGGTGGTCGCCGAGTAGGTGGATGTCAGCCAAAGTGCTCGTGAGGCCACATCTGAGGAGGGACAGAAGGGCCGTGGTCGGCAGGAAGCCACTGTGTGCAGTAGCAGGGGATGTGACTGGCTAGAGTTAACTTGGAGATACATTTCTTTGCTGTGACCCTAGAATGCAAATTTTTGTGCAATGCAAACACTGTGGTTAAAAGCAACATTCTTACTAAATTGCGAAATCTATAGAATGGAAATATAGTTGGTATGGAAGGTATGTCATCTATAATCATAGCTACACAAATTGTACTATTTTACCAATAAAACAGCAACTGTAGTTATCAAAACCGATAACAGTGTATACACAATTGATAAACCTGTTATAGTAACTGAACTGCAATGTTTCGGGATGAAGTAGCATTGGATATCAAATAGCAAAACATGACCACTGAGCCAGCATGCCCTTTTGTTTCGCCCATCACATGGTAAAGTTTAGGGGTATTTTAGACTTTGAGGAACTACTTCCAACAGCCACTGAAATGTGTTTTATACTCATACAGACAAATGGAGCGATGATAGTTTCTCACGTGTCACAGCCATGTTCAAGTTCAGTAAAAGCGATCTTTTTTCAACATTAATTTGAGGTGAGAAGATTCACAAAACTCATTTTTTGTTATTTTAAGGACTTTAGCATTTTTGAGTTGCTTTTTTATAGATAATATGGCACGTATTTTGTGACTTATTTAGTTTGTTTTATTTTTAAGGAAAACATTTACAGTACTCGGGATTACATAAGAGGAAAGCTGTTAGTTAAGACACTGAAATAAAGTCAAGACAAGATGCTGGACTGCAAGGTGTTTTTATGATCCACACAGTATAAATGGTGCAATGGACTCAGAAAGCTTCTTTAGGTTGCTTAGAGAATAACAAAGCTGGAGAAAATTTTCTTCATAAAGCTTCTATAATTTTAGTACACTTCTCATGTTTAATGTGGTTTATTCCTCTGAATGATAAACAAAATGACCTGGACTATTTATATTTACCTGTTTCTAAGTTATATATTCATTAGCTATGCCAGTCTCTCTTATTTTAACATCCTACTATTTTAAAAAGCAGTATAATAGCATTTATAGATGCTTTTAAGCAAGCACATTATTTTACAATGTTTATTTTACATGGATATAAACCAATCTAAATATAGATTATTTTGTTGTCATGTGTTGAAACAGGTGATTAACAGGCTTTGGACAATTTCATAGGTTGAAAAATATATATTGTTAGTACTTGATTTTAACAACATAACAAAGTAAGTTCTATGACTACCCGTTACCATCATTTAGAGTAAGTTGAGGTCTAAGTTGGGCTTCACACCACCTCCCAACCTGTTTTCAACGTTCTCCCAAGTATTTCCCTAGAGAATGTTTGTTTACTTTCTAAGTCCAGGGTCTTCAGTTTTAAGTTATTCCTGCATCAGGTTAAACACGTTTAAAGGAACTAAACAGAATCGTGTGCACCTGCGTGCGTGTGTTTACTGGTACACATTAACAGTCAGTGACTTTTGAAATAATCTTTACCCTTCACACTGTAAAGTTCAAATCTCATGGTGTAACTATAATAATTAAGTGATACTGTGATGATCACTGTATTTTGGGGGTGGGCAAACAAATTTTTAGTGTTGAAACGAACACTTAGATCTTGGATTATCATTAGTAATTTATTTTAAAAGAACTTAAATGCAATGAGTTATTGAACAACTCAGAATAATGCAATTTTGGTAGATGATTAAGTGGCCCCAAACATGACTTTGATGCAGAAACATTAATAAAGTCATCCTGAAATAAAATACATTTCCCATTTCTAAGGAAAATTGTAGCCCTGAGCTATAATCTAGACTTTATTTTTTTGTATAACAACTTAGTTTCAAACATTTAAATAAATATTTGGTAGTAAGACATCAAGCCTTTATTGTATTAATGGATATAAGTAAAATATTGAGCATCCGCTGACATCCATATAATTTCCTTCAATCAAAAACTATTTTTGGTGGGATTATTTCTGTTATTGACATGTTGAGTTTGAGTTATAAATTTTGTACCTAAGTAAATGTATTAGTTCGAATACACGGAGGCTGGTTGCGGGGAACTGAATGCCTACGAGGTGTCAGGCTTCACTCAATGGTGTGTCGACCTCACCATTGAAAACTCACCCCGGAATCCTGGCAAATATTTCATTCCATGTTTTTGGACATAAACAAAGGACCACAGTGATAGAGTTTCATTAACAAAATATTCTCTCAAACATTGCTGTAAACCATGTTAATATATTTTCAATTTCAAAGTATGAAATTGGAGTTCATGATGATAAATTACTTTCTGTGTAAAACGTAACAAAAATTTTCGCTATTGAACACTATTTTAAATGTAAAGTTTACTATTTACAGATACTATGTCTATTGTTTAATATTCATGCCATATTAATTGTGGCATATTTAATATAAAGTGATGCCATAAACACATAAAAATTAATAACTGCATTTATACCTCTTTGATACATTTCTATACATGATATTTTTAGTTCAAAGACAACAATATTTACAAGCCTATTGCTACCAGGTTTTAAAGTCCTTTTTCAGAAATAAAACGACCCTAATTCCAACAAAAATTAGGAAACATTTCTTCAAAACACACCACATACACTATACACAAATATGCATTTAAATACATTGTTACAGTTACTTTTAAATTTCCTTATATCCTTCTTTCCTTTAGATTTTTACTGGAAACCCAAGGACTTTCTAAAGTTTATTGTTCTTTTGTCAGGTAATGAAGTCACAGCAGTCCTACCATTTCATTCCTTCAACTTCTTTTTTCCGTATTAATGGTTTAGCAATCTTAGCCTCCGCTAACTGCTACTGCCCTTTGTCTATTCTTTTCCTAAATAGCTGACTTGAATTTGTTTTCTATCCTTTATTCTTTTTGGTGCTCCTTTATTTCTACTTCTCTACCCTTTTCCCAAAGACAGCATTTGTGTGCCTGCAGAAGACAACTTGACCTACAAGCTGCTTAACACAGTACTGTCCACTCTGTAATTTCCTCAGCTGTTGGCTCTGATTCTTTTTGTTTTGGCATTGACTCAGTAGACACTGGTGATCTATATTTTTAAAATTTCTACATGACTCTAATCTTGGCTGAGGGGCAGCGGTAGGACTTCTTCAATGTTTTCATGAATATCTAGTCCTCTTGCATTGTGCTGTTGAGAGTTGCATCCGACGTAAGTTCCAATTGCTGAAATGTGCTGAGCTTTTTGGATGTTACATAAAAAATAAAAATGTGTTCAGGGAAGCTGTAAAAATATTTCTGTTCTCTGTATTTTGTAAAGCTCGGGAAATTTGTCGTACCGAATTTGCCTCCCCACTGCCCAGAGGTCTGCCTGGCACACAGGGCCAACTGAGAGTAACTGCTGCCTGAGCAAAGAAGGTGTTGATTGCGACTCCTCTTTAAGGCTGGTACACACGTGGCGTCATTTCAAAAATGTGT